ATAAATGATGGAGAAAAATAAGAAATGCAAAAGAAAGAATGAAGGAGAATAGAAAGGAGAGAAAGGAAGTGGAGAAAAGAGGGATCATCAACAGTAAGAAAGTAAGGAGAGAAGGACAAAAGGAAGGAAGCAAAGAAGGAACTGAGGAAGGGATGAATAATGAATAAGGATCGTCTAAAAACGGAGGATTTGTTCAAAATCTCGACTGAAAGCAGAAAAATCTGAAATCCTGCAGACAGACGAGTAACAAACATAACAACGAGCTTTCACACGACGCTTTGCATGTTTCATAAATTTTAATCAAACTCTGACTAATATCAACTCATTACTAATCATGCATTGATAATATATGTGAACAACAAACGGTAGCCGCTCTAATTGGCGTACACGAGCTCTAAAAATGCACATTAGTTTTAACATTTCAACAAATTATTTCACTATGAATAAAACATAAATGTAAGAGACATTCAGACACACAAACCGTGAAAATCTGATGGTATTAATCAAAACAAACGACCTGCTTACTGCACCTGATCACTGATTTTAAGTGGATGAAATGAGGATGAACTTTAATCTAATTGGCTTTGTTGGAAAATGTGTGTTTTAAAGTGCGAAGTAGGTGCAGCCATCTTTAACCAACAGCAGATTATGACAACCAATAAGCAATAAATCAATTAATTGTATGATTAATTAAAATGAGAGTGATCATTTCCGTTTGGACAACAATCGTCTTTAATATCATTGAAAAGTCGCCATTTTGAAGTGCGATGTAGTTAGTTTACACTTCCTGCCTCTTTTGCCTGTTTTCCCTGTCAAAGCTGAATTATTGTTACTTTTTGAAATGCAATTTTGGCTACAGAGACTTCATAATCCACTTTATGAAGTCTCTGTATTTTATTAATAATAATAATAAAAAATGTGAATCATTTCATTTACTTTGGATATTAAAAAGGATTTACGGCTCCAGTGTAAAATATTATTTAGTAATGAAAGTGTTTTTGATGTTTGAGTGGGTAGAATGATAATCAAAGTAATAATAATTATTATATTAGTTAATATGGTCTCAAAATAACAGTATTATCATGCATAGCAATGATTTCTGAGGCAATTTATTGTCCAGCAAAATGTATTAATGTTAGGCCAAGTCCCAGGCCTAACATTGAACGCCTTCGTTTCAGAATAAAACAGAAACCTCCCACGTTGAACAACAATGTAAACGAACCCTAATAACCGAAACTGAAGAGGTTCAGGCCTGAAGAACTGAAAGCTTAGAGACAAACATTTACTTTTTTATGGGAAAAACCTCCTAAAAACAAAGCAAGTAATAATTGTTCTATCATTTTGTTTAAATTAAAGAGGTGCAAACCTATAAAAATGAAGTTTTCAAATAAAACAAGATTTTCAGAGAATCACAAATAAAAATGACTTCTGCGGGAGAAAAATTACAACAATGCTCTTACCACCACCTTTCTCTCTTGATTATTTAAAATCATTTATTTTACTTTTCTTAATGGTCATGAGATCGACCTGCCAGTAATTTACATTTTGGGAAATGGAGTCAGTAGAGCCAGCAGCTGCATTTCTATTGGCCATTAAAACTCGATGTAAAGGAGCTTCTTTAACATGGTTTCTGTTTATTAAAGAGAATCAAGTGTTTTCTTTGTAAAGTTCAGTTTTTTTCTGCTCACCTTCCCAACAACAGGAATTTCCACAGATCCCCAGGTGTCGGCTCCCCAATGGACAATTCCCGAGGCAAAATCCGCCGTCACTATTCCCAAAACTGGAGTAGAGGAAAAAGTATGTCATGAAAAAAAATATGAATAAAAAGGACAAAAAGAAAAGTCTCTGATTGTTCTCTTACCAATGCCGAGGATGATCTTGTAGATGTGAACGGTGGAGAAGTGCAGGAGGAGGAAGAAGAAGTTGATGATGAAGAGGAAGAGGCACAGAATCACACAAACCCACTCCTGAAATCGTTTACCTGCAAAGGAAACAGGCATTTATCTCTCCAAGCACGAGAAAAACAGGTCAGAATGAAGAAAAAAGAAGTGAAAAGGGTGTGATGGCAAAGTTTCTGCAGGTTTCACCAACTCAGATTAATTTAAGACCCACAGTAATGAACAAACATCGTCCAGCCAACTGGCGATAAATTTGAACTTACCCATGACATGACATGCTAAAAAGCTACTTAGCTAGCTATGCTAGCAGCTGCTTAGTGGGATCAATGAAGTTGTTTTTTTTAAGTCACAGAACACAATAAAGCTCTCTGAGTGCAACGCCAACTTTTGATTGACAAAAAAGAAAATAACTTGCTTTTTTACATAAACTTAAGACATTTAAAGATTAATTTAGAAACATGAATTTAAGAGTTTTAAAGACTTTAAAGATGCAGGGACACCCTGGCTGAACAAGGTGAGGTCCCTGCTCCCATCAGAACAAGTTGCTCCTTACTGGAGGTTAAAGGATCACTCAGCAGCGATCAGTCCGAGTGTGTGTGTGCGCCAGTGTTAATATGTAATCATTCAAAGGAAGACAAATGTACTCGAGGCAGTGGGGTCACGACCTCTGTGATACGAAACACTGGCGCTCAGGCCACACAGAGTCCGCTTCAGGTGGGAGGCCGGTCTCTGCGGGAACAATCCGAACTCAGAGGTCAGCATCTCGGGGAGCGGCGGTCGAACTGAAACTAACTCCAAATTCCGGATTCAGCAGGAAACCTGGCGAGCGATGGGAGGGTCAGAGAGAGAACCCTCCTGCTGCACGCCGCAGCACATCAGAGCTGCTGAATTATTGAGATTTCACTCTGCTGCTCGTCTAATTTTCCTGGAAACTTCTGGACTGACTGAACTGTAACTTTACTTTCTCAGTTTCGTTGTTTTTTGTTGTTGTTTCAGTGTTTCCAGAAGCTGGACATTCAACATTTCACCAACTTACAAAAATAAACCCTCAAAAAACAGCAACTACGTTCATCCGCTTTTCTTTGTCTTCAACAATCTAACGTGTCTGAAACTTTAATGTGTTCAGATCCTAACGTATCTCACAGCATTAGCAGCCTATAAGAAATTCATGACTTTTTTTTCCTAATAAAGCACTCGGGCCTGCAAAGGTTTGCGTCTGCAGACCTGAGCAACTATGAATATGAAGCTGCGACTCAGGAGGTCAGAGGGGGTTTGGAATATATGATTATGGATATTTTACAACTCATCAAAGTCGACCTTTCACCCGAGACAGACAGACGTGAATGGAAGTTAAGCTCCTCTCCGAGGTTTAGGTTCGCCTGTTTCAATCTGTCACTAAGTTCGTTTAGTTGTTGCACCTTTTATTTTGTCCTCAGTTTTTCAAATTTTCAGCTGAAAGTTGGGAAATGTTTAACATCTGAGTCATTTCGGTCTTCATGCTGAAACTTGCTGCTGCACGGACACTTCAGACAAAATTTATTTAAAAAAAAAAGTTATGTTGCGATCAGGTCTGGGCAAGAAATCAGCTGCATTGATTAATCAAACATTCTGTTTGTGAAGATTAAATTTTTGTGAAATTGTTTTTTTTTTCTCATTTTTTTCCTTGGGTTTGCATAATTCAGAGTAGCGCCAGCCCCCCCAGCATCTACTGTCTTTCATTCACACCAGCCTAGTTTAGTCCTCTTTAATCCAAATCCGTGTGCCCAGAAAGTTCGGTTCATTTGGTGAGGTGTGAATGTGAAACCAAACTCTGATGTGAACCAACAAAGTGAACTCTGGTCCACTGACAAAACTGTGTTTTGGTTTGAATGCATATGAAAGCCAAGCAGACTGGAGACCGCTCCAAAAACAGGAAGTGGACCATTTTGGTTCCAGTCGAACCGAGTCCACAGAACTTTTCAGTTCGTATTGAGCTGGACTTTGAATTCACATCGAATCCTAACCCTACCCTAAAAGCAAGTTTTTGAAAATATTTTCTGTAATTTTCAATCTTTATTAAAGAAGAAAAAAGTGATGATCAGAAATCAGATTTGGTGTGAAAAAGGAATAGTAGATTTTATTTTCTTGCCACATCGCCGAGCCCTAACTGAGACTCTTTAGAGTCTGAATAAACTTCTTGGTGTCGTTTTCCTTTTCAGGTTTCTTCATTAAAACAAGAAACTTATTTCACAGCAGTGAACATTTTATTGTTCAGGTTAACATCCGGGTCAATCATCTCAATGTCCCTTAACGTAAGCTTCTACTAATGAAGAAACCTAAAATGGGGAAAAACAGCAATAAGTTTCTCTAATAATGTTCTCACTGGTGGAATATTCCACTTACAATAAGAGTTATTAAAATTACTAGAAACTAATACTTTTTAAAATTGACATTAAGTAATTAGTAAGTCAATGCAAGCTCTTAAATTTTGCTTAAGTTACTTGTAAGTTAGTTTTGTGTAATTTAAAGTACACCAAGATATTTGCACTAAAAACAGATAAAAATAATTGTCTAGTGAATTAAATGAATTGCTAAAATAAATGTTTCAATAATATTTTAAATTATTAAGTTACATCTGCAATAATTGTAATAAAAGCAGTAATGAGTTGCAGACATTTTTAATAAATAAAGATGCAAGTCTCCCGTGCTCCCCCTCTGTAAATCTGGGACACTGTGTGTGTCTGGACTTCAGGAAACCACATGTAGTTTGTTGTTTCAAGATTTGTGCGACATCTTTTCCTCCTCAATCCGCCTGAAGGGGTCACTGCAGGAAAATTCTCTCCCACCTCCTCCAAGTATGACTGCCTCTGCGCACAGATCGACCGCCAACACACACACACACACACACACACAAACACGCACCCAGGCGCTCCATCTCTGTCACACACTCACACACCCATGGTGCGGGGCACGGGAGCAGCGGGGCGGCTGTCAGGTGATGTGCGTCAGTCCTTGGATCCTCCGGCTCCCTGGTGAGGAGCAGGAAACTAGGACAGGCCTCCACAGAGCGCACACACTCACGCACAAACACACGCATAAGCCCGCGTCCCTCAGGCCATGGCATTGCTGGATATCACACACAGAGGCGGTGACAGACAAAAAAAAGCATCTCTATGCGTAAAGGCGCACGGACAGAAAAACAAGCCGTTCGTTCTTTCTTTTGGCACGCCAACACCCAAACACTTAAACATGCTGGCACGAACAACCGGCACCGGAGCAACCCGCTCATTAATATCGCTCTGACAACAACCGGTTCCCTGGCAACCTGTCCGCCATCGCTCACCCAGCAGCAACCCCCGCCTGCGAGCATGCACATGGGTGTGCGCGGGGACTTAACCTGGGCGGAGCCGGGGGAGGCGGACGAGGGGTGCTAATAGGCTGAAATTAATCAACGCCGGCTGATTCTCCGTCAGGGGAACGAGCAGCGGACAGCAGGAAGGAAGGCAACACGTCCTGAATACTAATGACCGAATGAGGAGGGAGAGGATCCCGTCACCTCTCCCTGTGTATTCTGAGTGAAACATGATAGCATACACAAAAAATATGATGCGGTAAGGTGAGACCATGCGGAATATGACGCGAGGAAAACCAGATCCGAGATGAACAGATTCCCCGGCTGCCTTTCCGTGAACTTTGTAAGTAGCAGCCATCTTGGGAGGAAGTTGCTATGACAACAATAAACACGCTACAAGTTTAGAACTAGCTCCTGCCTCGTTCTTAACTTATAAACAATATTATTACGTATAACATTAACTATTACTCTATTACAGTTTTTGAATCCTTAACCACTAAGATACATGTGAGTGATATTTACTGTAGTACTTATTGTCGAGCTAGCAAAATTAGCTTAGCTAAAATAGCTTTCATCTGCAAGCTACAACGGACATGTGCGTGTCTTTTACCACATGTACTGACACTGCCACCAGAACCTTGTTATTCACACGTATAGTTCCTACGTCCTCTACAAAGCCGTTTAAACATTCCTTTCATTCGTCCATGGACATTAGACGGAGCTCCTCCGTGGTGTAAGCGCTCTTCTCCCCAAGTAGTTAATTATCGTAGTAGGAGATGGGGGCAGCTTGTCCACATCCTGACACATTTTCCTTCTCCGTCTCATCCCGATAGTAGCGATTTTGTTCACGCATCTTTCTCATTGGTCAAGAGTGTCCACTTTTTGTTGGTCTTGAAACCAGACATGGATCTTCTATGCATTGCGCATGCGCTTACCTAGCAATATGGTGCGGATCACTTCCGGTGATCCGCACCATAGCATGTTTTCTAATGACTTATCGTATGAACAAACTTATTCATGTGCGATTTTAATTGAGCTTTTTATTTAACGGAAACACCGCAATTGCAAAATTGTTTTTCCAACATTAGTGGAACATTAACATGGATTTGCATACTTTTAAGACCCCTCTAAAAAGAACATGGGAGATGTCTATGGCAACATGTGAAGCACCAATAATTCTGGAGTGATGCAAATTTTTAACCTGGCGTTGTGACGTAGATGCTAAAAAAGCTCTATGTTAGGAGAGGAAAATTCAGGTGAATTAGCCAACATTCTACCTACAGAGGGCAGCACTGAGATGGTTTGAGGTAAAATACTGCAAAATTAAAAAGTTTTACAGTAAAATATCAAAGTCTGCACATGAACATGAAGCTAGAACCATAAATAACCAATTTAGATAATTTTCTGCAATGAAAAAAAATGCTCTGAAAGTTAGTTGCACAAAAAACACTAAAAACGTTTGGTATGTTTTGTGCTCAGCAGTGTGGTAAACATTTCAAACAGGGATTGATTTGCTTTCATTTGTTTGGTTGTGCAGCAGTTAGAAGGTCAAACACCACGACCCGAACACAGGGCCCTGAAACAAAAACTAATTAACACCTTTTCAACTTATTGGCTCAGTAATCAGGCCACAACCTATCGAGTATTTTGCTGTTTTGACTGAATCGATCAAATTATTTCCATTGTCAGTAAACCACAGAGACCCAATGACCAGAATGAGCTCAGCCCGGGAAATCAGACATGAAAAAGTGT